TCTTTAATAGATTTTTCCGTACATTTCTGCCATATGTACATTAACTGACATAGTCACCACTGATAAGCTACTATGAAATATATTGTTGAAACTTAATTTTCTGTAAAGCTGCTTTGCAACGATTTGTATCATAAAAAAGCGCTATACAAATAAACTTGAATTGAATTGAATTGAACTTCTAATGCCAAACATGAAACATCTTCAAATTTATATAAAAAAATGTGATCTGTGTCAACAGCCCCCTACTCAGGTTATTGTAAGGGAAAAAAATACTCTATACAAATATATATTTGTTAGTTTGTGGGAAATATATTTATAATATATACAGTCGTGGCCAAAAGTTTTGGCAATGACATAAATTTTGTGTTTTGCAAAGTGCACCCTGGCAGGCTTTTTCAAAAATGTTCGGTTTCAGTGAACTGGTGCTGCCGAACGGCCAAACCGCGTAGAAAATGATGCGGTTTTAAAAATAACCACGTTCGTGTGGACAGGGCCTTAGATTGTAAGAGCAGACTGATTGCTATAAAAGGAGGGAAGAAGATTATTTGGTACCTAACAAGCTAGTCTTCTGAATTATTATAATGCTCTGTGCTGTGACCGCATCACAGCACAGAGACAGCGCTCATTAAGATAATAAATGATATTCGCTTATAAAGTACTTTTACTCGTTTATAAATCACTCAATGGCCTAGGACCTTAATACATAGCAGATATGTTCACTGATTATAAACCTAACAGACCACTCGTATCATTAGGATCGAGTCAGTTAGAAATACCAAGGGTCCGGTTCACACAAAACAAGGGGAGTCCGCTTTTAGTTATTATGCCGCCCGCAGTTGGAATCAGCTTCCAGAAGAGATCAGATGTGCTAAAACATTAGTCACATTTAAATGAAGACTCAAAACTCATCTGTTTAGCTGTGCATTTATTGAATGAGCACTGTGCAATGTCCGAACTGATTGCACTATATTCTATGTATAATCGTTTTCTTAAATTAATTTTAAACCTCTTAAATAAATTTTTTTTAAATCATTTTCAAAGTTTTTAAATTCCTTGTTTTATTGTTGTGATTATTTTTTTTATTATTATTTTCTTTTCTTTCATGTAAAGCACTTTGAATTACCATTGTGTATGAAATGTGCTATACAAATAAACTTGCCTTGCCTAATGTTTAAATAACCAAGAAGAAAAAGGTTCTCAATAAAAAAACCTGGAAAAATTCAGAAATAACATTTTCATAATGGTTTCAAAATAATAGCATGGAATGTTCCTCTAACGTTTGCAAAACCAAGAAAAAATGGGTGTGTTAACATTCAAATGTAACAGTCTCATAATGTTTTCAAAATTATTAAAATGGATTGTTCCTCCAACGTTCACATAACTAAGAAGAAACATTCTTAATACATAAAAAAACCCTGTATGTTTTGAACTTTTAAAAAACATTCATAGGTAATGTCAGAAAAGTTTTTAGAACATATTTTGTTAGCTGGGCTGTTACCTGATCTGTTAAAGTTGCATTTTTGTTCAGTTACTGTCTTTTAGTGACATTTTTTTGATGAAATTGCCTCCCTAGCCAAACTACTTTAATGTAAAAGTGTGGGAGAAATAGTGTGGTAAATTGTTGCACTTCATTGCTTACCTGGGATATTCCATTCAATTACTTATACTGCATGCAAGTACAAACTGTCATGATGTATAAA